TACATGTCATATGTAAATAATTTAAAATAAAATTGTACTAAAAGAATATAAAACTAAGGTATTGTATGATGTAACGTAGAAATAACGTACAATGCGTGCCTTGCTTTAAAAATTTCCTTTAAAATATTTCTGAACTAAAGGGACCTATCATTTATCATTATGTATACTTAGAGGAAAATCAAGTTTATAGGCAATGTTTAAATACCGCCGTTTAATAAGCCGGTGACCAAGGTCAGTGCTACCTGGACGAAACTACTTCTAAAGTTCTAGACCAACTCTACTCTACTTCACGCTATGGAAAGCCGTGTAGTTAATTCCCGTACGTTTAAAATTTGGTTCATAGTACTTGCAAACATTTAAAAGTTTATCCGTCATCATCACACTTTAAAATTTGTTAAACCAATTTAATTGACGACTATTTTTGACAAATTCCACTAATGTTATTGAAAACCCAATAGTTAAAAGTCAAATACAATCCACTACAGAGACACGCTCACATCTTATGCTCTCGTTTTCAGGAAATACATTATACATGACTAAACTATGTACAAGGGAATCTTCATCATTCTAAAAGTGGAATTCTTGGAAGCAACAATTACGCTCGACATCGTTTTTCAACTGGTGTCGGACTCGAACATTAGTCATAATTAGGGACAAATTGTTTTTGTAAGGGAGCCATAATTAAATTAGCTGCTAAATTGCCTTGATTTGGAACTGGAGGGTAGTCGTTATATTGAAATTGAGATAATTGTATTAAAGTAGTGCAGAATATACAAAAAAAAAAAAAATTAAAAAGGCAGTTTAAAATTACGAAGGCAACGTATCTCTACCAAAGCTACCAAGTCCATGCCGAATTTTATAAAAGAGTTCAGTAGAAATACATTTAATGTCAAAAATTATTTACCTACATACGAGTATTATTATTAGGCTCCGATTTGACATTTAAAAACACGTAACTATTTAACAGTTTGAAATGTTTTTAGTAGTCTGATTATTCATTCGCTTCTAATCTTTAACTCAAAACAGGGAAGACTTGTGTCTAGGTCGGTATGCTTTAATTGTAAGTTACATTAGCACTATTACATATATTCTAAACATCATTATTACATCTCTAAACTTTTTAAATATTTTTATCGATTTGCTGCAAAAGGGTTTTTTTATCTAATAAAGAAAGTCAATTAATTGAACCCAATTACTTGGTAACGCCCAAAAACAATAACACCCGTCTGTTCTAACAAGGCGGTCGTTATCACAGCTGACAGATTAATTAGAGCGGTAAATGTCTACACGTTATCACTTTATCCACGTGTCTAACGTCTCCAACAGGCGGCCGTGACATTACAGGTCGATAACCCCTTCACTACTATTCTCTAAACAGGTGGAATTTATCATAGGTGATTAAAGTGCATTTTAAGGTTTGAGGTATATCTCTTCTTTCTTAAATAACAAGTACCTGATGACCGTAGGGTAAATTTTCTAAACATGAAACCTAGCTAGACCGTTTAATCGCCCCCGAAACTCCCTGCATACTTAATTCATTAAAATCATTCATTATATTTATGTGAGAAATATATTTGTGTGATTCAGATTATATTTATGTGAGAATTGCTCATTTAAAGCTATTAGATAAGACAGGTAATAAACAATATAAAAAAAGATGATTTATTTAGTAAGAATTGTTTTGGTTTATAAATAAATTTCGACATAATTATGTTTAGTGTCTATTGTTTGAGATTTATTCTATAGAATGACTACGATACTTCCAGGGCACATAATAATACCTCAGCCTATGCTTGTCCACTGCTGGACATAGGCCTCTCCCAATGATGTCCAGCGGGCCTGCATCCAACGGTTTCCAGGGCACATACTAACTTTTAAACTTTCGCGTTCAGTAATATTATTTAATAATAATATTTTCTAAAATCTGTCACACAACGCCATCTAGTTTCAAACTAAGCAGAGCTTGTAATATGAAAGCTAGATTGATCGATAAAATACTTATACTTTTTTGTAAATACATACATATTATACATAGAAAACACCCAAACTTATAAACAATTATTTGCAGAGTCTGCAAACATTAGTCTGACCCGGGAATCGAACCCGTAACCTCAGCACAGCAGTCGCATACGCTACCACTGCACCACCGCTGTCAATATATTTATTACTTACTAGCTGAGACCCGCGGTGTTACCCGCGTTTGTTGTTATAACCGCGGGCAACGCCGCGGGGCGAAGCTAGTCTAAAAAAAGCCTAGTTACTCCGTTCCAAAGATTACCCGGAACAAACAGACAGACAGACAGACAAAAATTGTAAAATTGGCAAAAAAAATTATTTTGGCATATGTACCGTGTAAACATACATATGCATTTAGTAAAAAGCGGTTATTTTAATATTACAAACAGACACTCCAATTTTATTTATTTGTATGGACTAGCTGACCTACAACATCGTCTTATCTCTCAAAAGGCAGGAAGGAAAGGAGCGGGGAAAATTTTGTCCGTTACCGCAACATTTTTTACATATACTCGGCTCCTATTTGTCTTAGTATGATGTTATATAGCCCATAGCCTTCCTCGATAAAAAGGGCTATCCACTACTAGTACTTCCTAAGATTACTCCGAACATATAAAGTCACAAACTTTACCTCTTTATAATATTTGTATAGATGAATGGGAGTAAACGTCATTAATAGGTATTAAACACTTTTAAATGTCTGGCGTTTCGACCAGATTCTGGCTGTCGTCAGAGGCGAAACCACTTCTGAAGAAGAATTATGTTACTTCATTGAGTGAGTGCTATATTTTTAATTTATTTATATTGTTTATCTCAGTAAGGAAGTAAATAACGCAAACAAAGACCCTTGTTACTAATCTACTGAATTTCAAGGTTACTATTGAACTACATTTTGATAACATAGCTATTTTATGCCACACATTTATGATTAAATCTTAAAGACAATATAATGTTCAAATGTAATCATGTGTGATGTTTTATTAACACTATTTTGATAGACTAATTTTGTAAATATTTTATAATCGATATTTACAAAATCGTGCTGTAATAAATTAATTCAAATACCGTACAGAATCTACGAATTATTTAGTCCCATCCTCTCTCTCTCAAAGTCTGCGAATCGATGGATGGAGCATGGATTACACAAATAGACATCGGTTTAGCCGGTCATAGATAGAATGGTCGTCTTGCGATTCTATTTTTGACACAGTGCGTTCGTATACATTGACAATTGAAAAAATAAATACATGTTACTTCAGTTCTATTCTCAAAGCGTGTGTTTATTGCCCTTGACTGTGATTTAGTCTCGTTGTCCCTAGAGCTATTACGTGGTTAGTGAACTAAAGCAGCTGTTCATGGCATTGAGATGTATTTTTTTTTATATCAACCCCAGAAATTTGACCCCTTATACGCATACGCTACCACTCCACTACTTGCTGATACTAAACAAAGGTAAAATAATTTAGAGGCCAACAGTTGGACGCTATTTTTTCCTCTGCTTTCACAGCTTTGACTGTCCATCTACCCATATAAATAATCGAGGGTTTGTGTCTTGAAATCTTGGTTATGTCTCAAATTCTACTGATGATACAAAGTCATTTATATTAATGGGTATTTTACATAATGCTAACCTTTGGCTGCTTGAACCCTTAAAAAAACTTTCAACAACACGGTATGTACTCGTAATAGGTATATTTGTCTATCAGAAATTGTAAGATCTTCGAACGTTATTTAAAATTAAAAACCTTTTTAACAATATACTGACTCTCCACTGAGGAAACATTATAAGAGGGATAAATATTACTTAGTAAATTACAAGAATCTTGTTTATATCTACGAGTATACTCGTATCTTCATTCATTCGCTGACAGTCTGAGTAAAAATTATGAAAAAAGAGTTTTATAACTGGCCACTTAAAAAAGGGTACAACAAAAAAAAAACAAAATACTGGCAGTCAGCTGTCAAACAGCTTGTGCCAAAAGCGAACATCGGGGTGGACTACTACGTAAATATCACAAAATTCCATACCCTTCGAAAAAAATCAGATTATTAGATGTAGGTGTATACACGTGACGGTATACGAATACCAGCGCGGTTGGCGTTCGGTCGTCGGCTCGGCTTTGTAACAACACGCCCGCGCGTTTCCCCCTCACATAGCAACGGGGGACCGCCCGGCCGCGCACCGCTCGATATAGACGGAGCGTTGGTTGGCGGATTTACACTAAGGTAACCACGCTACTGGTTTTGGTCGGAAGATGTAATGAACTAGTGTATACATCGACTTTAATATGTGTGGAAATATCAACACAATTTTTTTAAGATGCTAATGGATACTTCTAGTGTAATGAAGAAGCAGGTAATAAATATATGAAGAAGGCGAGCACATTAATTAATTTATTTATTATTTATTGAAAATGTGGTATATACATAATAATATATATAAGTTCGTAACATACAGATATCATCAATAATTAGTTTTCACAAAATATGCAGTATTAACAATTACGACCTAAAGGCCGGTATTTTTTATAATATTATACTTTTCGTACTTATATTATAAATAAGAAAGTGAGTTTGTTTGTTATGCTTTCACGTCTAAACCACTAAACCGATTTAAAAAATCTTTCTAACATTTTCGTTGACACATTTTTGAGAAAATAGTGCTCATATATGTGTGTACCTATAAAACACTCTTCAGACCACTAAAGAGGCAAACAAGCATGACGCGGACCTGATGGAATATGCAATAGCACTTTGCACAGTACAGTGTATAGTTTATAACAATCATAATAAAATATTTAGTAAAAAAATTAGCTATTTTCGATTGAAATATAATTGAGTAATAGTCCTTTATCCTCCTCAGACAAAGCTGTTCACCCTAGTCTGGATCGGCCATTTTAGAGCACTAACCGCGGCGTTCCCCCGCTGCGCGTCAGTCGCTCGGCTGACGCCCGCTCGTGTGCACGATTTTCAGATGTCGCCCAATGTGTGATCGCCAAGAGCGTTGGTTTTATAAAAACATGCAGTTCGAATACGACCCTGAAAGGCTTATCGAAGAAGTAAAAAAGCGACCAGGTATTTGGGACTATGAGGACGCAGACTACCGTACAAAAGCCATGCGGTATCGGCTTTGGAATGAAGTTGTGAACGAATTAATGCAAGCCGATGTAAAATTGACTAAAAGTGAAATGCGCGAACTAGGTACGTATTGTTTTAACTGATTTTAAAACTTAAAAATGGTTATTACAATACTTTTTAAGTAAACAACCCCACATGACAAGTTATGTTGTTTAGTAGTCTTAGACGATAGATGGCGCTGCCAGTCCAAGAGGCAGGCTCGTCGTTGTCTCTAAAAAGGCATCAAGATCTGGTGATCTTGATGCCTTTTTATTTTTTAAATTTGGTAATTTGATATAATAATGACACATTGTAGTAAGGTGCCGGCATTTCCTATTATTTACCAAGAATAGTTCTTTATATTGATCACGTAGTATTTTTGGTATTTCAAAAACTTGGCAAAAATTAGTCATTTTTTAATCATTTTATGCCTTTAACTACCTAACAGAACAATACTTTTTTAGGTTTGTTTTACATAAGTATTATACTGATTTATTTGTTTTAGAAATTCAATTACAAAAGAAGTGGAAAAGTATCCGTGACTGTTTCCAAAAGTACGTCACAAACCCGAATAGAACAAAAAAGCCTTACATCTACACCAAACAATTACAGTTTCTTTTAAAAGATCAGGAGATGCCTCGTAAAGAAGGTCCTGATCTCTCAAGTGACTCAGATCAAGCCGAAAAAAATGGTAAACAGGCTAAAAAAGTATGGCGAAAGAAACAAAAGTTACGTTTAGTGAAAGATGACGATGAATCTTCGGAAGATGACAGCAGTCATAATTTCGATACTCAAGAAGACTCCAGAGATTACTCTAACGACGGAACAGATTCTATTCGACCACCCAAAATTGCAAAAATAAGCATACCTCAAAGTCAATTAGACGAGTTTGCGTTTGCAAATGTTGACGCACAGGTCAAAGAAACAGAGGATTCAGATAAAATGTTTCTCTTATCACTTTTACCGCATTTGAAAACAGTACCAGAAGAGTCCCGCTTGAATGTCAAAGTGGAACTAATGCAAGTGTTACGAAACGCGAATTACAGTGCTGCACAACATAAGATTATTTAACTTGTATACATATTTACAAGTTAGAAAGCATAATTAAACAGAGTATAATACTTCTCAAATAATGTAACGTTCCAAATTATAACTGATTCATACATGTTGTTAATTTTAGTTTTCTTATCTATATTGTGACTTGAAAATGTATTAATTAATCTTATCTAACCTGCCCTGAGTATTATATACTTGATTATTATAAACTATGATCTCGATTAGATATAGATTTATAAGATTAGTAATAGTAGTGGAATACTTTCAAATATTAAGTTGCAATTAAACCAGTTGACCCACTGATCCACATGATACAATAAATTTATTTCGTAGTTCTCAATGATGAATATGAAAACTATTTGTCAGACTATCCATACCAACTTATTAGTTTTAGATAAGTTGCACGGTGAAAGCAGAGGCTTTACTTGATCAATACTGAAGTAACACATGTATGTTTTACAAACAGATGCAGCCTTTCAATTTAAAGTTAGGAATACTGTCGCGAACTAGAGAATAAGATGTAGAAATAGATACATTTATTTAGAATTTAAAGATTTAAACATTTAACTTACCTTAAATCTAAATATGTAAGAGATGTGAGACCTCCGACTGCATTCGGTACAGCCCTTATAATATTTTGTGATAGCAGTAACTTTTCTAAATAAATGTACGACGTCAGTTCATCAGGCAGTTCGACAAACCGATTTTTTGATAAATCTGTAACAAAAAAAATGTTTTTATTAAAATAGTCTAACAGGTGAGGAGTGATGTCCACTACACAGGACTGAAAATCTACGCCTGGAACCAAGGAGAGAATAGTCATTCTTTTTATGTATTTTCATTAATATGTTTAGTTATTAATAAATATTTAATAAAAGAAGAAAAAAGAAAAAGAGAGAAGAAAGAAAATAATAATAAAAGAAGTATTTCTGGTTATAATATTGTATTATTGGAAGACTTATTTAAACTAACCCTAAATCAGTAACAGATACACTAATGAGCCTATACGTAACCCAAAGCCAAAGAAAAACGGTAAAAGGGCATTGTTCGATATTGAAGGAGGGTATTATATTTTGTAGTAAGGCGTAGTTTTACGACTACCATGAAACTTAGCCGTAATAATGATTTAGGGTGCTTACACACCCTATTAGGACAATAAATATTAAGAAATGTAATGTAATAATGTAGGGTTATGTGGCTATGTCATAAAGATACCGTAAGCCTACATAACAGGATACATTCCTGCTTGAGTTGTCTATTTTACAAAACCAAAAAAAATAGCAAGATTGAGAACTTTTGAAGCATTGAAATTTGCCGACATAAATGGCGCCATAGTAATTACCATCTCCTATCATAAAAATATATATTTTTTAATACTACAACGTTTGGTTTATACGTAGGTTAAGATATTTGCCACATTTGATGGATCCTCTTCATATTTTTTTGCCATCACACTAAACCACAGCAGTATAGGATTGAAATGTACGCAATACGTTTGTGTCAAGCAAATACATATTGTAGGTATTTTATTAAGACTACACTTTGCGTGAATCGTACACAATACCCATCCACTTATCTTAATTGCTTATAAAATATTCACTTTTCTTTAAACAAAATTATCGTCTATCTACATAGTAAAACAAAAAATTCTAGTCTGCGTAAACGAGTTGTTAGTAGTTCGTTGACACAGGCCTCAGATATCTTGTTGATGCGGTTAGCGGTAACCGCAGCGAGACTAGCAAGAGTGTCAATGGATAGGTAGTTACGAAATCAAAGATCTAGTCTAGGTTAGTTTTAATATTTTATCATGTTTAATGTTCACTAATGGACATAAATTATAAGAGATGTGTTGTTTTACTATGTTATACACTATATACGCCTCATTATAGTTCAACTTCAACAAACCCTTCACGTGGTACACGTTAGGCGTTTCATTGTGCAAATATTAAAATTGAAGAAATAGAGCACAGTACATTTCTGGTAACTAGCTTATTAGTGTGGGTACCAGTGACCGTTTATCATCTGACGGGTCGTGTAGTTGTTTCTTAATTTATTAGTACGAATAGTATGAACTAAACCACACCATCACTGGATAATCAAATATGTATGTATATCGGACAAAATGAAACGGGCAATGCTCGCAATCCGGATGTTGGTCTGCAACATATGCCTAAGGACACTAAAGAAATGTATTATGCGACATCGGATATTATTAACATATATGTATCTACGTATATATGGCAGTAGTCGACGTCTTCGACTAAAAGCCTATATAACAAAAACGGAGTTAGCTAAGTGATCCACAATTTCCTAAACGGGCAACCTCTAATGTTTCTATTAGTTCATTTTCTAAAAGCAATAAAGAACTCTTTCGATACACTTTTATAATATTAAATATAAGGATCGATTAAAAAGCTTGCCAAGTTAATCAATTAGAACCGATATAAAGATGATATCGATATAACAAATCAATTGAGTATGATAGGCGCAACAAATGTAATATCATCTGAAGTCGTTACGATCACTTGTCTAGTACGGTTGAACTCGATTCATATTATTTATTTATAAGTTATACCTACTATCTGAGTTGGCTGACAGATATAATGACAGCTGAATAATTAAAAACATCTGTTGAAGAACTCAAGTGTTTCTTGAAAGTTTTACAGCCCGCACTCCGGAGAGCAGAGATAAGACAGTTTCTAGATCAAGTAAATGGTTTACTGTATTAGGGATTCTTCGTTCTTTTTACTTCCTAAATAACAACAGCAACACATTCCTAAATCTTTTTTTTTTTAATAAACTGATATAGTTTAAATTTTTGGCACTATGGCACGTGCTGGATTTAAATAATATAGTATTTTAGGGCGTTTCGCAAATGTTTTACATTTCCGTAGGAGAGCAATGTTGCGACAAATCAAGGATTACAAAGGACAAATATTCACGCTACGTCATATTACTAAGCTGATGATGGCAAGGTCCTAGACCTTTAGGAGTTAGAGGATAACTCTTCCAAAAATCTAATCGTGTATTGACCTTGTTTTTTGCTATCAAGATATTTGTTAGGTGTTTGTGTTGGGTTACAGAGATACGAGTATATGCACCAAAGAGTATATTTATGAGATTACAAAACATTTATACAAAAAAAAAAGTTTGTTACGCAATTATTTGCATGTTTGTTCCCTCAAAAATATTTTTGAGGGAACAAACATGAACATTTGTGAACCGATTATAAAAATTATTATTTTATTGGGATTTTTATTTGATTTAATATTCCCCTTATGTTTAATTAAGTAATGTGGAAAACAATATATTTTCCGATTCAAGTGTAACATCTTACTAATTTATCTGAATAAAGTAAGGGACTTTTTAAACTATATTTAATATAATCTAACATACTAATTTTGTACGTAATGTATAGTACAGTTTGATGCTATACAGTACGGTACGTGGTGTTTTAAATACCGCTACTCATTACAAGCCTATCTGACACTAAAAATTGTAGAATAAATCCTTTTAAAAAAAAGTTGAACCGACTTCAAACAATATTGAGTCCCTCCACTAATAAATATAAACGGACAACAATGCACGAACTGAAAACGTCTTCACTTAGAATGGAATAGAGTAGAATAAATTAATTGTACACAAATATTATTTACTATAAACACACGACAGTTATAAGTTTAAGATAAGTTTCAGTTTTTTCAGAAGGTATAAAAATGACAATCCATATCTTCAATCAATATACAATCTCGGACAGATTAGATTAGCAATGTGCCTAAATATTTCGGCAGACAGAAGGGGATCTTCTGACCAAAATAGTCTAAAACAAAAATGCTATTTCAAGTATAAATATTACACATACAAATTAAAAAAAAAAAAAAAAAGAAATTAGCCAAGTCAGACTTAAAATCGGAGGATGCCCTGCGGTTAAAAGTTCAGTTTTGTAAGTGAAAATCGTACATCATTTTTTTCTATCACAAAATATACTATCACTTATTTTTAACGAGAATACGTCTGTATTTAAAATTATATAACACGCTTTTCGGGCAAATATAAAAAAAGCTGTTCACTAAGGACGATATCGTTGACATCGTCTGTCACTATAAATATTACACAAAAATTCATACATCGACTTATAAAAGTGTGTCAACAGTCAATGGGCCGAGACTGAACCAAAACTGGTTTCATCATACAGATTCCATGAGAAATATAAAATCTATTTCGTTTTACTTTTCATCGCCAACAAAATTTATTATTTTTCGTGTCTATATCATTCATTACATATAACATGTTATAAATGTTATAATTGGATGATGGATGGATGCACTGTACAAAGAAACCTTAGACGAGTGCTCGTCTATGCTCGCATAATATTATTCAGAAGAGATCTTAGAAGTGATACTGAAATAATTAGCAAGTTATGTTATTTAACGATTGAAATTAACCAGTCATAAAAGTTATTCTATTAAGATTACTAACGTATATAGGCGACAGGTCCACGAAATCTTTTAAACTTCATATTTTAGTAGTTAAAATATGACTTATACGAGTACAAGATAAGTACCATTCAAGTTATCGAGATTAGCAATCTAAATCATGAGATATCCAAAAAATAAACTAAAGAATCTTCGAAACGAAAATAGTAGCGGCAAATTATTAAAATTATATGTAACAAAATTATCATGTTATAATGACCTAATTTTTTCAAATACAGGTAATGTTCTCTAGTAATATAGTTAATGGAAACACTCAAGGGAGTAGTGGAATGGAAAAATGAAGAGCTGGGTCGACACTACAAATTAAAGTGTTTGAAATTCAGGGAAAAGTATGTTTATGAACAAATGATGACAATATAGCTGTCATCATTTGTAAAAACTAAAGAAAAGGTTATGAGAAATGATTTACCTACATCCCTAATACATACCAGCAACTTAAGTTTTGCGTTATGAAATGTAAAATATACAGTAAGTATTTATTTTTTTGGCATTAAACAGATTGATTGTTTATATCACCAATTTCAACCTGTTGTTAAGATGTTAAGGAAGTTTGTTCAGGAACACTGCTTCAACACTTTAGTTTATTTCAAGATGAACTTTCTAATCTACCAGAAAAATTACTTTAATCAACAGAAACTTATGAAAGAAAAAAGGATAACATATAAGAAAGAGATAAGATTGTGTTAAGAAATATAAAAGCAACAGATACATGGCATGTTTTAGCTTTTTTGTTTAGTAAAGTACAATAAAAGTTCACAACTAATTTCACAAAAATTGAAAATCTAAAGAATTGAAAAACTGTTAAAAATTAATTAAAACAACTTATTAATCAGAGGTAGAAATCTTTTTTTTTTTTTAAATCTGCAAATGAACGAGATCAGATCTTGAAATATTTGGAATCGGTTAGAAATTACGACTTATGCACACCCACGAATCCGAAGCCCACAGCCCACACAAAGACCCACTTCGTTGGTAGAAGGTCACGATAACAATAAAATATAGTATTATTGCTCCGGTAACCAGAGCAAATTCATAACTCAACAAAAGTGCCCAGTGGAAAAACTTTTAGTGGAGCTGGACTTTTTCACGTGCCGCATCCACAAAAAGATAAGAAAGTATTTCTGATTTAGTTGTCTACCTCTAGTTATCATCATTTACCTAATATCCAATTATTTATTTTCCTTTATCATTAAATATCAGAACTAATACACAATATGAGCC